TTTCACTTTCACTGGTGGCTCAGACCATAAAGAATCCACCTGCAATATGGGAGACCTGGGTTAGATTCCTGGGTTGGGAAGATCCCCTGGATGAGGGCATGGCAATCCACTCCAGTATTCTTGCCTGGAGAATCCCCATGGACAGAGGAGCCTGGTGGGCTACAATCCACGGAGTCACAAAGAGTTGGACACGNCACTGGTGGCTCAGACCATAAAGAATCCACCTGCAATATGGGAGACCTGGGTTAGATTCCTGGGTTGGGAAGATCCCCTGGATGAGGGCATGGCAATCCACTCCAGTATTCTTGCCTGGAGAATCCCCATGGACAGAGGAGCCTGGTGGGCTACAATCCACGGAGTCACAAAGAGTTGGACACGACTGGACGACTAAGCACAGAACAGCACAGGGACTCATGACAAAAGATACTTTTATTCTCTGTGAGAGACCTCTAAGATCCTTAAAGGTAGTTTCATTTCTATATCTCCAGCACTTTCTGTTTATACTCAAGAAACATAAGAAGAATTCATGGGGAAATATTTAATCCCACTTACCAGATAAGGAGAAATCTGAAGACTCATCAGGGCCACATACGGTGAATTCTTCTAACTTCTGGGGCATTTGGCTACAACAGAGACAAGGTGTTCATTTCAGAAACCTCCATAGATCAGGGCTAGAGTGTTGAACTTGGGAGTCCAGTTTCCCCAGGTCCTTTCCCTAGTATCTGGGGGACAGCCAGAGAGATCTGAGTTTGAATCCGAGTTCTTGCTTGCATTAACTCTGACTCTGGGCAAGTTATTTAGCTTCTCTGAGCCTCAGTCCCTTCATCTGTGAAATGGGAAGGGCTTGGCCATAAGACAGTTATTGACATCTATTGTACCTGATGGGAAGATTTTTTCCCCATGTTCTGAGATCCTGAGAGAAAAAGCTCTAGAGTCTTCAATGTCCCTGAACCTGTATCTGCTATGTGTCAGGTGGAGTGGTAGGTGCTAGAAAGGCAAAAAAATATATATGATCTTATTGCTTTCCCCAGGCAACTCCTACTCTGCTTGGGGAGGCAAAACATAAGCACTGAAAAAGCAAAACTTCAACTGAACCTAACCATCCAAGAGATATCATAGGATTGCATAAGAATCACAGCAAATGCAGGACTTCCCTAGCATTCCAGTGGTTAAGACTCCTTCTTTCAACACAGGGGGCATGGGTTTGATCCCTGGTGGGAGAACTAAGGTCCCACATGCCGTGTGGCCTGGCTAGGAAAAAAAACAAGAATGACAGCAAATGGCACCATCATTATAGGATAGACACAAGAAGACCCCTGTCTTGGAGTGACATGGAATGACTTTTTGAAGTAGCCTTTCTGCTCAGAGTCCACAGTCAAAAACTATTTATCTTTGGGACTTCAGTGGTGGTTCAGTGGTTAAGAATCTGCCTTACAATGCAGGAGATGTTGGGTCCATCCCTGGTTGGAGACCTAAGATCCCACAAACTGCAGAGCAATTAAGCCTGCCTGATGCAAGGACAGATCCACATGACACAACGAAGAGCTTGTGAGCAGCAATTAAGACCCGGCACCGCCAAATAAATAAATAAATATTTTTAAAAAGAAGTTATCTTTTAAAAAAAAAATGCTCACCTTTGCTTAATCATTTAATACTCCTCAGAGGAAGAGATGGACACTAATCCAAAAACACTATAAATAGATGTATATTTACAAATTGTTATCAGGGTCAATGAAGGCATACGTAACAAGAGGATCCAACTTAAAAGGACAAAAGAAGGCCTCTTACAGGAAGATATATATATATATATACATTATATATGTATATTTTTTTGACTATATATATATATTTTTTTTGACCATGCCCATGCAGCTTGTGGGATTTTTGCTCCTCAACCAGGGATTGAACCCAGGCCCTTGGTAGTGAAAGCATGGAGTCTTAAGGAAGTGATATTTAATTGAGTGCTATGAATGAATAAGAGTTAGCCAGGCTGAAAATAGGGGAGGAGAGCATTTTAGAAAGAGAAAAAACTGACCAGCCTGTGCAAAGGTCCCCAGGAACAAGAGACTAGCTTTTCAAGGATGTGAGAGAAAGCCACAATGGCTGAAGTACAGAGAGTTACAGGAAGAGAGGTGAGGTGGGACAAGATCATGCAGAAGTTTCTAGGCTGTTTTTTTTTTTCTTTTTCAAATATGAGGAGAGGACCAGCTGCAGCAAAACTACTAAAAATGAATTCTAGGCCCATGCCCACTGAAAAACAAACATTGTCACTAGGGTTCAGGAGTCAGCATTTTGAACATGTTCTTTAGGTAATTTGTGAGTACCCTAAAGTTTGAAAGCCAGTTTTCTGGGCCAGATACAGATTTCAGTGACAAAAGTGGACAGTTTTTAAGCCCTCCCTTGATTAAATTTGTGTTCTGAAAAGGTCATTCTGGCTTTGGGAGATGGCTAGGATGAGGCAGGGAGTGGACTGGCCAGGGTGGCAGCTAGAATATCTCAAGTGAGGGATGATTTGACTTCAAAAAAGGGGTGGGGATGAAGATGGGTAAGACATTCATGAGCTACTTTGTAGGAAGAACCTTTATTACAGAAACATTTATATATTCATTTTCCTATCAGATAAGTGATAAATGATAGTTGCAAAATTTCAGATATACAGAAAAAGATAAAGAGGAAAGCAAAGGTAAATATTTTGGCGTAAATTCTTATAAGCTTATTAATACACATACATATTCAGATATATGGATGTAGTATGTAGTTTGTTGTTTATGATAATGGAAGGGGGAGAGACAAAAAAATAATGGAACAATTCTGTAGTACTTGTTTCCTGATTTTCAAGAAAACTACGTATCTTGAGCATCTTTTAACGTCTATACAGATTTGTATCATTTTAAATGTCTGGATCTGGATGGGATTCCACTGAGTGGATGTGCCCTAATTTATTTGCTAATCCTCTCCTGATGGATATTTAGGTTGCTTCCAACTTTTCACATCATTAGAAGCAATCTCTTTCCTTCCATACTCATTTTTGAGCACAGCAATGTTATTCCTTAGGATACATTTTCTTTAGTGGAATTACTGAGTTATCGAGTTGTAGAAGAGGATGGTACCGAAGCCAGGGACCGGAAGTCTTCCTTTTGACGGCCTTGGACTATTACAACCCTGCCCTGGCCTTTCCCAGTCTTTTTTTTTTTTTTTTGGCTTGGCACAGATTTAGTGTGTGCGGTCGGAGCTGGCGAGTTCGAGGCCTGTCCCAGACATCCACCCCCAGCATGGCCCCCTAGCTGGGGCCTCCAAGGCCCTCCCAGCCCCTAGGAATCCATCCCCGGGTCCCCTCCCCCACCGCGGGAGGGCGTGTTAGGCAGAAGCTTAGGCAGGCAACGATTGCACCATCCACGGTCTGAAAAGGAAGTGGAGGAAGCGCAGGGAGGAAAATCGTGCATCCCAAGGGCCGAGCCCTCAGGAACCAAACCCGTAAGCCCGCAACGCTCCTTCCAACAAAGCTCACAGGGATCGGATCCCTTGCCTTCCTCCCCCTCCCCAGACCAACCCTTTGCGGGTACTGGCCCTTTAAGAAGCTGTCACGGTGGCGCTGTTGGCCCCGCCCGGCGGGGAGGGCCAAGAAAGAGGGGAGGGGTTGGTGGTGGCTGAAGTTGGGGGGGGGGGTCTGGGTCTATTTTTAGCACCGGGTGGGGTCACGTGACGGGAGTGACGTCTCCGAATGTTGTTGTTGGTGGCGGCGGCGAGCGGAGCCGGAGGAGCCGCCGCAAAGATGGAGGAGCCGTCGAGGAGGTGCTGCCGCTGCTGTCGCCGCCGCTGCTGCCGCCGCCGCCCGCGAAGCCGGAGCTCGAGCCGCAGGGGGTGAGCGCGCCGCACCAGCCCCGATCCCATCTCCCGCAGGCTCCCCGGACGCGACGCAGCGCCCCCTCCTCCTGCCGTCGCTGCCCGCGGGCTCCCCGAGCGCGCGCCGAGCTCCGCGCCCCTCTTCCTTCCTCGCGGCGCCCGGGTGCCAGGCGGCGGCCCCCGGGAACATCGCCAGCCCGGGAGCCGGGCCTCGGGGTTACTGCCCGCGCCCCTCCCTGCCCCTCCCAGGCAGGGGCGCCTTCCCTACAGGTAAGGGAGGGGCCCGTCTTCCTGCGACCCACACCCCCAAATGGCCGGGAGACCGGCCGGGGCTGTCTGATTTGCCCTCTCCCGGGCGGCGCGCTGTGCGTTGCAGAGCGATTTGAGCCCTGCACCCGGATTCTGTGCAGACCCCTCTTCGCTGGACAGCCTTTCTTGGTACTCTGAGATGAGGGGCGCCCCCACCCCATAGCGCTACTACCCAAACCTCGGAACGCATCCTTGATTTTGTGTCCTTGACTTACATGCCCGAGGAGGGAACCGGCGGGCCCACCTTACTTCTTTCTCCCATTATTCGCACCCCCTCCCTAGTGAGGCGTTACTGCGTTTGTTCCCACCCTCTTCTCCCGCCTGACACCCTGGAGCCAGAGAGAGAGCTAGGAGATGAAAGCTACCCCCCTTCCCACTTCTTGTCTGGGGTGGATGCCCCCCATTTTTCATCTTGGGTCTCTGTCTCACAGAGGGAGGGGGCGCTGCCCGTGCCTTTTAACTTAGGGGGAGCTGCGTCCCTACCCCACCCTTCTCTGGGGTCCTGGGGGAGATGAGAACTGGCTGGGTAATAAGTAATTAATCTGGAAGGCTGGTTGGTGGGGGGGAAGAGGGGAAGACGGGAGTGCCTCATTTTGGGGAGGAGGTGACCACCTGATACTCCCCGATTGGCCTTCTGGGGTGAGGTGTATCCCTAAAAAGGAAGGGTGGCAACTGCAGCTGCTTTGGGATGCTCAAGAGACCCACCACTCTGACAGTGACCACTGTGCTTCTGGGGCCTGGAATTAGCTTTGGCGGTTGGGGTAAGTGGGTTTGGTGGTAACTGGGTTCAAGGTCCGACTAGGAGGGAAGGATGGAGTCAGACCATAGGAACAAAAGGAGGCAGGGGATGAGAGATCCAGGACTCTTAGCTAGAAGGACCCCTGACCAGTCTGCTTTGGAGGCTGGAGCCTGGAGCTGGGTCCTGCCCTGGGCCTCTTCAGGTTTAGAGGATGTAGGCAGGAAGGGTCCTCCGTTTGAGTTCTAGGCAGCGGAGTTCCTCAGCCTGTGCTGGCTGTTGAAACGCTGGGCTGGGTTGGGGATGGTGGGTGAGCCATGTTGGGGGCTGCCTGCTTTTTCGTTTCAATCTTCCCTCCTTCCTCTTCCTCCTAAACGCAAAGCTTGGGGAGTTCTTGGTTTGCCTTCTGCCCCGTCTCTTGAAACCTCCCTTTGCTTTTCTTCCCTTGGACTTGATTGTGGGCTGTGTCCAGACAAGGCAGGCGGGGGTCTCTGAGTTAGAGGACTGGGTCCACCAGCATCTCCACTCTGTCCTGGGAAGGTATGCATGCGGAGAGCCAGAGAGCAGATGCCAGGTGCAGTTTACTGAGGGCAAGGACGGAGGACACGTTAGCTCTGTGCCAGCCTCCCCTTCCCAGTATATCCTCCTGTGTGGCTGGATGGAGTAATTGGTGGGGGGGGGGGGTGCTGGCAGTATCACATGCCCCACCCACTCTTAAGTAGATGCAGAGACAAAGGTTTGCTTTCCCTTCCCTAGGGGTGGCATGTTAGCTGTGTGTTTAGAAACTGGGCCTGGGGATGTTGGAGGGGGCCCGGGTAGTTTGTTTCTGCAGGGGGGAGGGGGGCAACAGCTATAGGAGCTGGGGGGAGTGCAGTTGGTGCTGAAGTACCAGCTGCTCTTTAATAATTAATTCTTCCTACTCACATCCCTTTGAGGAGGGATGTCTGGAACACGGCATCAGGCGCAGCCAGCCTGCTAGAGGACGCACTCCTCTTGGTGGGGGGTGGGGGGGAGACGGCGAGGGGGGGGCGGTTCTTGGCATTTTTGGAGCACTGTCGCTTGCTCATGAATGAAAACCTGATGCAGCCCGTGAGGGGGCCTATTGTAGCCGACTCTGGCTAATTAAACTTTCTCTGCCTTTCTTCTCCCCCACCCCACCTCACCCGAGCCCCAGCCCCAGCCCTTTCTTGAATGGGGACCCTGTCTGGTATACTGGTGAGGGGGTATCATTCTGCCTGAGGTTTTAGGGCAAACAGACCCGGTCTTCTGCCCTCTGCCTCGTCCCTCCCTCCCTTCTCACCACCCCCCTCTTTTTTTTTCTAGAAATAGCAGCCTCCCTCCATCTGGCTTGTGCAGATGCCTGGAGCTGCGTCTGAGCAGACAAACAGAAATGGGCCGATTGCAAAAATGAATTTGTCAGCCTGGTGCCTTTTTTCCTCCCCTGTCGCCTTCGCCCCTCCCTTAGTTTGGGCCTTGACATCCAAGTCAGCACCCCTCCTGGCTCTGATCAGCCTCCAGGCTTCTGTTGGGCCAGCTTGGGGGAAGGCTCCAGGCTGGGGAAAGTGATCGGCTGGGCCCTGGTCAGGAGGGGTCAAGATGAGAGTTCCTTTGTGCCTTGGGATGGGATGTTTGGGCTTGTGGCTTTCTGATGAAGACTTTGGGGGCACATCTCAGACTGGGAGCAGTCTCACAGGATTTGGTTTGGACAGCTCACCTGGGAGGGGAGGGGTCCCCGGCCGGCCCCAATGCTCAGGGCTTGTCTTGAGCAGGGCTGGAGCTGGTGTGTTGGGAGAGGGGACGGCTTCGTGGTGGTGGAGTTCAGGTTCCTTGAGGGATGAGATACCTGTGGGGCCGCATTGTGAACTTGAGGCTTTTGAGGCAGTGCATCCTCCGTCTGTCCCTCTCTTGTCTGCCCTTCTCCTCCCACCCTCCACCGGAGATTGTATTGCCTGTGAATGGAGTGGGGCGTATCACCCTAGGGTGTTTTGCCCTTCCTCCCCCGGCTTAGCCATGAGCTTGTAGGGTGAGATGCACCTGGTTTTCTGCCACCCTGGCTGGAGGTGGGAGGTGGGTTTGGATCCTGGAATGGGACAGAGGTCTCACTGGAAGACAAGAGTTCTCAGGGGGTGTGGACAGGACCCTGGGGTCTGCCTGCTTGTGATGTCATGGAAGCCAGGCTGCTCACTGGTTTGGTATCAGAGTGCCAGGAGTCACGGAGCTCTTGGTCCCCAGCTGCCCCCTACCCCCGGCCTTCCTATAACAATGGTCAGCAGTGAGTTTCTTTGGCTGAGGAGGGAACAGACAGCTCAGGTTTTCACCATTAAGCTCCCATTTTCCCCCTTCAGCCCTTCCCCCAACCCCCAGTCAAATATCTATGCCTGTCCCCATGAACGATCAAAGTGAACGCTGCTTTGTTTCCCAGGGAGGCTTCCTGGGAGTGTTGGCAGACACTCTTTGCAGGTGGACGGGGCCCAGGGGTCCTGTTACATGTGGTAGGGTGGGCCGGAGTGCAGCCTTTCAGAGCTCCGAGCCTCCTGGGAGTTCTGGGAACCCCTCCCTTCCTCTTCTCTCCAGGGGTTGAGGACTGATGGGGGCTCAGGGCGGATCTTAACCTAGTTTTTGGCCCATGGAGACTCTGCCCCTCCTGAGAGCCCTGTTGTGGAGGTTCCTTTCACTGAAGAGACGGGCTGGGTCACTCAGGCTGCTGGGAATCGTGGGAAATTCTGAACCTGTGTTCCCCAGCCCACGGGAAAGGGTGTGAGCAGGACCGGGCGCCAGCTCCGGGGTGGGCATGGGCTGAGCTGTCTGCCCACGCGGGCCCTGCCAGGGCACTAACAGCCCCACCTGCTGCATTCCTGAGCTTGGCCCCAACCCTGCACAGCCTCTTCTGACCTTGCCCCACACCTGTGCCTGCTGGGAGCCATTCAGCCCCCTTCTCTCGGCCTACTCCCACCTCCCCATCTGAGCACACCTTTCCCTGGCTACCGAGTCAAAGCCCAGGGGCAGTAGAAGACTTGGGATCTTCCTAGTATATGTGCAGTATACCTCTGTGTGTGTCAATGTTTGTGTTCTTGTGTCGCTTGCTATGGCTGACTCCTGGGCTCCTTGGCCCCATAAGGACCTCATGCCTGGCCATCCTTGATGAGAATGCAAAGTTTACCAAGAATTAATCCGGCCAGGAGGTAGGCTGTCCAGGGGCAGAAGTGACTGCCTCTTCCTAGTTTGGGGAGCAGAGTTAGGGTTTAAAACTTGGCCCCTGCCTATTGCTTCCTGCTCCCTCCATTTCACTAGATGTTGGAAGGCCTGCCTTCGTTTGGAAAAAAATGAATGAGATCATGTCTAGGGTGGATCATGAACTCTTAAGGGATGGGCCCAGGTGGGTGCATGTGTAGTGTCTGAGGCTTGAGGGCTAGCTGTGAGGCTCGAGGGGGTTGGGGAGCTGGAGGAGTGGAGACAGTTGGCAAACACATGGTTCTGTAATACTGGGACGTCCTCTCTTACTCTGCTGGCCTCAGCAGGCCTGCTGCTGGGTCTCTTGGTGTCTTTGTACAAACTGGAAAACAGCGTCCCTTATTCTGGGTGGATTCAGCCTGTGTAGCTTGGCAGGCACAGCAGAGGCTGGATTTCAGACCTCGTTGCGCGGGGCACAACCTATGCAACACATGCAAGGCCCTGGGTGTGGGCCTTGGACCCCTAGTCCAGAGAGCACCGGATGTGGGATGAATGTCTCTGTCTTTCGAAATTCTTGGAAACAGCATGGTTAATGGGTAGAGAAAGAGCAGTTATTGCCCTCTTTCTCTGAGGGCAACCTGTTGTTGAATGGGGGAGACCCAGATAGAAGCATGTGGCATTTCCAGGGTTGGGTGACATGAGGATCCGGGAGTAGGGAGAAAATGAGCATCCAAGCTCAGACTGGTCTGGAGGACCAGTCTTTCCCTTAAGTTCTTCGAGGGGCTCCAGATCAGCCCTGCGTCTCTCCACCGCCCTGGACAGAGTTCAGAAGTGTTCCTGCACTTTCACCTTTGGCGCACACCCTGTCCTGCATCGGGCACCCTTGGGAGTCTCTGAGGTCTCCCCACCTGGCAGTGGATATGGTCACCTGAAAGGGAGCTTGGATGTGGTTACCGTAGCCATTTCCCTTCCGGTGAGAGCTGGCAGCCTCACCAGTTAAAAAGAGGAGAAACTAGGTCTGGTCCAGTGCCGTGCTGCTGGGCAGGTGGCCCTCCCTCTCTTCCCTAGGTGTAACTGACAAGCTCCAAGGTCTCCCTTCACCCCCAGGTTCCTGAGTTGGGGCCCGCTAACCCTGCTCCATCTCTCCCCAGGAATGCTGTTCTGAATGCCTGACTGCCTCGCCCCGAAGGATGGCCTCGGATGGGCGTTAGAGGCACAGCGGCCCCGGGCTCCTGTCCCGTCCGTCTGTCTGTTATCGTCTGTCTCTCTTGACATCACCGCAGCTCCACCCCCTCCCGTCCCAGCCCCCAACGCCAGCTTCCTGCAGGCCCAGAGCCGGCATGAACTCTCCCACCGAGTCGGGTAAGAGTTGGGAGGCTGGAGAAGGCACCTGGGGTGGCTTTGGATGTAATGGGCTGTATGGGTATATCCACCCCAGGCGAGCTGGTCTTCAGGGTCTGAGCCATAAGAGAACGAGGGGTCAGGAGTGGAGAAGCATGGTGAGAAAAGGACAGAGGCAAGCCCAAAGTGATTGACTAAGGGGTAGACCTGAAGTTGATGGTTGATGGTCCAGCCTAGCCCTGGGAGGGCATGAGTCCAACTGTGATCCCAGGCTGGCCCTCTTGACTCAGGGGCTGTCAATTCCATGCCACCCTGCCCCTGTTCACCAAGACAGGCAGGGGTGAGGGGGCTGTGTGCCCCTGGACCCCTCCGGGAGGTCTGGGGATGATGTTGAAAGAAGATCCCTCTGATAGCTGAGTGCCCAGCTTCCTTGTCATGGTGGTGTCCTTTCTTCTTGCTTAAGTTCCATACTCTTTTCCACAGTCTGTGTTCCATAGTCTTTTTCTCGGTGGAGGTTTGCAAGGCCTCCAGCCTTAGCCTGTGCTGGGATGAGTGGTATTGGGGTGAGGGGTGGGCAGTGACACGTTGGCAGCTCTCTCCTTTGAGTCCAGGTAGACTTGCTCTGGACAGGGAAGATTCTTAATTTGGGGTCTCCAACCCTGAGATTTCTTATTCCCCTCTGCTCCTATGAGCCTGCCTAGTGCTGCCAGAAATAGTCTGTGGGTGGGACTCCAGGCAGCTTTGTGCACGGGTGAGTCTGGATGTGTGCCCATGTGGATGTGTCCAAGTGGCCTGAGCTGGACCCTCAGGGGTTTCACAGGAGGGTCATGGGTCAGTGTGGTCAGAGTAATAACTGCTTTCCCTCCTTGGCTGTCTCCTTCTGCACAGACTTAAAAGGGTCAGAGTCCATCTTGCTCAACTTTAACCACCACCACCCTGCCCCCCCCAGCCCTTCCTATTACATCTTTTTCTGCAGGGGTGGGAGATACCTTTCACTCTTTTAGAGACAGGGAAACTAGGGCCTGGAGACTGAAACCAGTTAGCAGGATGGTGCAAAGCAGGATCAGGGAGGAGTCGAGACCCATCTCATTCCCCATCATCATCACTGTGCTCGATCTGGTGGCTTCCTGTCGTGAGGACCGCGTGCTGGTGACGTGTGGCCCTGACCACAGTCCCAGGGCTTCCAACAGATTCAGGGAAGCCAGAAGCTGGTGGGATTGGTTGGCTTTGTGACCTTTGTTTTGGTTAAGGCTGTGCCCCCTCCTGTTGCTCTTTGTATCGTGACATCGTCTGGGCACAAGACAGAGTAGAGTGCCAGCTGGGGAAGGCTGGGCTCCTGAGATTCACCAAGTCAGCTTTGTCGATGGGCCCCCTCGTGCCGGGATTGTGGCCCCCCTCCGAACCGCCTGCCAATGCCTGCCTTCATTTCCCCTGCAGGGGCCCTGCCGGGCGTTAGACGTAGAGAGGTCTGTGTGACTCGTGCTGGAGGGTGGGCTGCCCTGACTTCCTGCTTCCTCCTACGAGGCTGGGCTGGTGAAGGGGAAGGAGAGGCCTGGTGGGTTCTCAACCGTTCCTTGGCCATCAGCTGGATGCTGCCCCTCGCAGGGTCGGTTGTACCTAACAGGAGTGCCAGTTGCTTCTTTCCTCTGAGCTACAGCACTGACCTGTTTGGGAGCCATATCTAGTCACACCAGGCCTGGCGTCTAACCGTTGGCCAGGGGAACGGAAGCTTGCCAGAGGCATCTGTTGGTGGCTCCCGAAGGACATTTTCCAGCTTTGAGATTTCAGTGCCTTACAGTGAAAGGCTAAGATGATCAGCCTCGGCCGATCAGGTCAGTGGGTTGTCTTTCCAGATGCAGGTGGGCCGAGTCCTCCTTGTAGCCGCTTGACCCAGAGCTGGCAGCGGCTGGAGGGGTCCATCAGCCCTGAGCCTGGCCAGGAGGGGCCCATTGAATTGACTGCGCCTCCTGGCTGGCTTTCTCGCTCCCCCCAGCAGGGGGAGATGCCGTCTGCTCGCGTTCAGCAAGGAGGGAAAAGGACAGGGGGCCAGAGATTGGAAAGCTGGTTTTAGGACTGTTGCCAGCTCAGACTGGGATCATTGTTCAGGGGCAGCGTCCCGAGGCCCTTCCTGCAGAGTTTTTCTGGGGCTCCAGGCCTGCCTCTCCCCGTTGTGGAGTTCCAGCTGCTCTGACCGGGGGAGAGGGCCAACTTCTGCACAGCATCCCCCATCGAGGGGCCCAGCATCTGCCATTCCCACAGCGCAGGGTGGCATCTGGACTGAGGCTGCGGGTGCCGGGCACCTGGCAGAAGCCTGGAAGCTGCTTGCCTGAACTCCACGGAAGTCCAGTGAAACCACGAATTGTAGCTGGGTGTCCCTCGCAAGGAGCTTAGGAAGAGCATGAGGCCGCAGGCCTGGGGCTAAAGGTGGGGAGGAGGAGAGTGGTTAGTTCCCTGGGTCTCTGAGCACCCCTCACCCTCTCCCAAGTCCCTGAAGACTCACCCCTCTCTCCCTCAGGGTTCAGAAGGGCAGGCCTGGGTGAGGGGCAGTTTCTCCCCTTTTGTCTCAGGGTAGGAGCTTTCCTGTTTGGAAAAGAAAAGTAGGAGATGATCCATCCCTACCCTCAC